AATGATTTGAAAGGGTTCCGACACCTCAAACGTCTGCCTTGGTGCCCTCCAAGACTAGACTCGGATACTAGAGCCCGGAAGGACCGCGAGCCCCGACACCTCGAACGCTCGGATCCGTACAGAAGCAGGCGAGGATCACGGAACAGCATAAGCCGTCCAGTGCTTCGGAATGGGGCTGCAATGCACCCATGAATGGATTACCGCAACTCTGTATCCCTTTACCCGCTAGTGGAGCCGCTGCCCCTAAGAGGCCAACGCCAGTTGGAGATGAGGCTCGCTAGCCTCCAGCCGCGAGCGGGCACTCACCTCCCCCCTAGAACTCATGTTAGGAAAGTTCCCTTTCCAACGTTTGATGAGTAACCGTCGAGGACTCTTTCGAGCACCCTCTACCACACATCATATGTCGCAGACGTCGCGCCCATTACCCGTATAGGTGCGGGATAGGGCGGTTCATCAACAATACCTTTAAAACAAGGTGCCACTCGACCTACTTTCCCTATCTAAATAAGAGTCGTCGGACGCACCCCTCCGAGAGGGTGCGTACTACAAAAAATCTGATCAGTCTGAAAGGTGTCCCCCTTCAATTAAAAATCGACGTGTCCAAGCTTTTTTTAAAAATCTTACTTTTTATATTCAAAAACGGCTCTGTTAAGTTTTGGTTGTTACACACTGTATATTGTAGGTGCAAACTGATAAAAATATTTTCAGGATTTTATTTCGTAATGGCATACTGCAGTGTTTCTCAAAGTGTGCGCAGGAACCTTTACTGGGGCGCCGTGGGCCACGGGTGAGTCTCAAGGTACACCTTTTTATTGGATTACGATAAGCCCCTTGCCGGCCAGTGTCGTAGTTATAGTTAGCTTTAATTAGGGTAGCAACTGAAACATGACTCGTTTGTAATTTCTTTTCATATTTTAATAAGTATTATAAATAGTGGTACCGTTCATTAAAATGTTATATGATAAACGTATTTAAAAAACACTCCATTGTGAGAATTTCACTGAACAATTTTACAAAAACGCAACACGTGTTTCGCCATACAACGGCTTTTTTGGGCATGTCTTTTCTCACTATATTCTACATATTCAATGCTCAATATATCTAGTTTTACAATTAGAAGTACCTACATTTCAAGAACTTGATTTTTACCTGAGCTTATGTCCCAGTTCCCACATTTGCAAAATATGTAGTGTCGGGGAGTTATTCAATTCTAATTGATCACTCAGTAAATTATTCGAATTCCTGAATCTATTGATTTCTAAACATTCCAGAAAATTGACTTTCAACCTCTTCTCTTCTAAATTTAACACGTCGTATTCATGATTGAACTCATGCCCTTCTGCTAAAAGGTGATTTGCAAATGTGGAATTGGTCTTTCTATTCACAAAACTACTTCTGTGCTCTTTAATTCTTTAGTAAAAGGTTCTCCCTGTTTGGCCACTATACAGTTTTGGAAACGAGTCACAAGTCAGCTTATATACTCCTGATCTATCTGACATCGAAGTTTTGTCTTTATTGTTTTCAATAAATTTGTTTAGACTATTATGCATTCTGTAAACTACGTTTACGAATTCTTTCTTCAAAAAACGGGCAACATTATTGGTGAACTTGCCTAATTGTCCATCTGTACCAGTAAAACAGACTAAGATATCATCTACGTATCTGTACCAGTACAAGAATCTATTAGTTAACTAATTATTATGGATTTCATACTCTATGTTATCCATGAAAATTTCAGCCAGCCAGGGCCTCAAAGGGTTCCCCATTATGAGTTTGTCCGCATGGGGCCAGGCTCGCCATCACGTTTGGCGCTTGCTGTATAGTATTTTGAGCAAAACTCTAACATAAAAATCATTCAAATTAACTGAAAGAACAATTTGTTCAGGTCAGTCTCGACTAACCTGCAGTGCAGGTGAATGTACTGACACCTATCAGAAAACAACTATTCCCCTGGCTAATACCACAAAGGGCGTTGGATTATATCCAACAGATGTCAAATTGTTCTTTAAATAAATTTGATTTATAGCCAGTTTTCAAATATGCCCACTGAATATATGTGAACGAAAATCATTGGCTACCTGAAGGAAATGACAAGGAATTTCTTTGAAAATTCCACACCTGTAATTTTGAATCAATCAAAATACGTTATTTCGACAAATCACCATGGCAATGGAGGTATTTTAGTGGAAACTTTTTCTCGTGGGACACCCAACAGCGAATTATACCGGAAATTATTTGACACTCACAATAGCAGACCATTTTTGACAGATTGGTTTTTATTTGTTCACATACTATTTAGTTTTGTTACGTTTTAATCACAAAGCTAAGATGTTTTCTATACTCTTGGACACCTCCTCTCTTCTTATGACGAAAATGCAGGACTTTGAATGTTTTCAACTAAGTGTCTATGTCTAATAAAATATGTACAATATTTAGTTTTGTTACATTTTAATCACAAATCTAAGATGTTTTCTATATTCTTGGACACCTCCTCTCTTCTTATGACGAAAATGCAGGACTTTGAATGTTTTCAACTAAGTGTCTATGTCTAATAAAATATGTACAATATTTAGACACTAATTTATTCACCTTTAGCTCGCACAAGTTTCTCAACTTCTGAGAGTTGTCGTTCATATGGGGGCGACGGCTGATTAACGGAAAAACATATTTTTTTTTCATTCAGTATTTTCAATTTTGCGTAATTTAGATGCAAATATTCATGGACAATTCGAAACATATTTTCTTTCTTCAAGTTGGAGGCACAATCCTCTATCAATGCGAGTAAATAAGTCATGGTACAAATGGAATTGGAGCCATCACTGGAATTTTTACTCCTTATTTAGCTGGGGCGTTAACAGAAAATGTAAGTTACACAGTATTGGTTCTCGAAAAGGGTTGTTGAAGCAATTGAATTAATCTGAAATCTGGCACTGTTTTCATTCCATAACTATAGGATCTTCCAACAGGGACTTCCGAACTTTGACAATTGATAACGGCCATCTTGTTGAAGCTATATCTGTCAAATTAGTTGTCATTTATTCAGTATGTTGTTCCAAATCACCATAAACGGATATAGCATTCAACAACACGTAAAAATAATAGAATTGTTTTATCAAATGATGTGTTCTGTTTGGGCAAGGTACTGTGTCCTTCGTCGTCATAATCGAGAGGATTATTCTTAATGTGAGTCTGCTGGTTCAGTATACGATCGACCAACACTCATACGTCGATGAAGTGCAAGATATGTGGAAAACATCACCGCTGTCTGAGAGTGTGCAGGAGAATTTGAAGCAGCCGATTTCGCGTCGCTCACAAGAACTCGGCCTTTCGCAGGCCAGAACCTGGAACTGACCCAGGAACTGAAGGTAAACAACCATAAACAACGACGTGTGTTCGTTAAATGAGCTCTGGAGCAGTTGGTAACTGGATGAATTATCGAATTTGGGATGATACCAATCCACATGAGATCCAAAAGAGTCCAACGCATCCCAAAAAGTCACTCTTTGGTGTGGATTTTGGGCTGGCGGCGTCACCGTTCCATATTTATTCGAGAACGGCGTTGGTCAGTATATCACTGTCAACTTCGAGCACTATAGGTCGATGATTACCAACTTTTTTTGGCTCGAATTGGATGATCTGGACCCCAATGACATATGGTTTCACGTGGCACGTAGCGCCACGTGCCACATTGGATATTCTTCATGAGTGATTTGCGGGCATGGTCATCTCAACCCATTACTTACTTTTACTTATTTTTATAAATATGCCGATGATGAACAATGAGAGAGCAGGGTGGTTATGTCTGTCACGGATACTTCACTAATTAGCTTTATCATACACAAGAAGACCACGTCGAAGCTCACTAGAACATCTCCTGGGCCTTACTTAGTCTTCAATAAATGACTGCAGTATAGTGTGTAGGACATAGAGACGAAGCGGAGAGTCAATGATTACTTATAGCGCAATTTCCGAAGGCTTTACAGAAAACGGCCCAAGCGAAGTTCTCTGGCTTACAGAGACAGGCTTGTCTGAACATCAGTGGTACCATCAGTACCACACCGTCAGCGGCCATGGAGATCCTTCCAAATCTACCTTCCCTCCACATTTTTTTCTGAAGAGAGAGGTTAGATGGACTGCATATAGACTTGTGCACGTTGCCAATTGCATAAATCAATTTAACGCAGAGTGCAACAGATTGTTGGTTGACATTGGGAAGTCACAGCATTCTGGAAATGACCTCTGACTTTATGCCTCCAATGTCAACTACGAACTCCCTTATAAAGTACTGTTCCCGAGTAGAGAGGACTGGATCCTCCAGGAGAAGGAAATATTAAGAGCAGATAGTTGTTGGTTTACAGATGGATCAAAAACACCTTCCAGTTCTGGTGCAGGTGTTTTCAGTCGCAGACTCAGGATAGAGATATCAACCTCATAGACAAGTCAATAAAAATATTCTCGGACAGTCAAGCGGCGTTGAAAGCTCTTGGTTTCTACCGAGCAACCTCTAAATTGGTAGCAAATTGCCAAAAAGACTCTCCTCATTAGGAAGACCCAACAGATTTTCTCTGGTCTCGATTCCTGGCCATACTGATCTGGAAAGCAATGAGGCTGCTGACTCCCTTGTAAAGGAGGGTGATGCAAGCATCTTCATCGGACCAGAACCTCTCATTGGCACCGCTTTAGGCTTTGCCAAACAAAGATTGAACATCTGGATGGCAAGAAGATTTATAGACTTCTGGTAGAATCTTCCAGGATTGGCTCACTCCAAAGCGTTTATTCACCCTTCGCAGCTTGATACCAAACAGTTGTTGGACTACCGTAGGGATGAACTACGATGTCTAACAGGCCTTCTTACGGGTGACCATCATTTGAATCACATGCAGAGACTCGGACTGTCGCAAGACATCGTGTGTCGCCTCTGTTTGGAAAATGATGAAATGGCAGAGCACAATCTTTCTGCTTGCCCCGCTGGGGACCTAATCAGGTTTTTAGAGTTCGGCAGAGCTGTACTATTATCATCTGACCTAAAAGACCAATCACCATAGAAACTAATCGGCTTCGTCAAGAAGCTGGGTATATTTGGGGTTGCTGTGGAAGATCAAATAGACCAACTCACTTTGGACCTAACCGAACCTAACCTACGGACAACATCCCAGTAGTCGGATCCCGAGTGAGTTTATTATTTTTCAAGCAAGGTGGAAATTTTCCCTCTTCATTTCCGGGTGTTCATCACGCCAGTAGTGTTTCTTTTGTCAGCAGATAATACTAATTTCTCCTTGACATTATTTAAATTCTTCAGTGCCTTTCTTTTCCTCCGTGTTGAGTTCGCTTAGGGCAGTTTTACATGCACTGAGATCCTTAACGTTGCAATGCAATTTCTCAGTAATGCCATTGAACGTAGAACGAATCCCCGATTAAACAAATCTGGAAAACAGCCATCTCTCCACCCAAAAAGTATCTTCAGTTACCAGATCAAATATCCTAAACCTCTCTCTTTTCTTTTCAGCATACGCTGAAGGAGTGGAGGACGGTCTTCTGGATATCATTCGCTGTCTTTAACGTCACCAACTTGGTTTACTGCTTCTTCGGAAGCGGGGAAGAACAAAAGTGGAACAATTCAGCGAAAGACCATGAAATGCAAGCAAGGTACGGCAGCGTAAGCAGCAAAAGTAAAGATCAAAGTAACGGCACATCCAGAGGAGACAAACCAAGGAACAAAACTGGAGAGACTCAGGAGAATCCAGTTTGAAGTTCCAAAACCAGTGGGTTGAAGTTCCTTCCACAGGGTGTTAGCGTTAAGTCGTGAAGTGAGTTTCTGACGAGAACGAAGAATATATATTGTTTTGATTCTTCTTTTACTTAGATCTTCTGAGGAAAGATCTGATAGGGAAGTAAAGTGATAATTTCTTGGTTCAAGGAAGATTCGTTATGTATATATTTTGATATTTTAGATGGAATTTATACTTGTTATTGAAATTATCAAATTGACACGTTATGCTGACACGAGAAGTTCCTCTTTTCTATAGACGATGTTACATCAGACATTAGTTTTACAATATGAATGTGATTTGGACGACTTGAAATACACCAAGACAGAAATAATCATTAAAATATAATTGACGTGAAACAAATTTTTGTATAGGAAATATAAATGTGATACCTACAGGGTCCAAAAATTTAAGAGACTCCAGATTTCCCAAAAATAATTCAGTATTATTGTGATGCTTTTTCAGGTCGGTATACTTCGGAAATGAAACAAAAATCAATCTATATTTAAGATTTAATGATAATTGAATATGATTTTCCACTTATTTTTGAATCACTTCTACCCTTGTAGAGGCTATTCCTAGCCTATCAAAAATATTGAAATCTCTTTCAATTTTCTTGGCAGAGCATAAAATTCTGCTAAAGTTACAATTATTATAATCGTTTATTTTATAATCGAATACGTTTAAATTATTCACTGTTTTGATACATTATGAAAATCTTACAATAAGTATGAGTATCATACTTTAGGAATACGATATGATATGATGAAATGATTTTATGATTTAACTCAATTACGACAATAAAGTACTTTATGATGATGTATATTCCGATTAGAATATGTATATATGATTAGAGTAGTGAGTAGGTAAATAAAATTATCAACATTTTTATTTTTAATGGAAAAAATAATTGTGACTTGATTCATTTGTCGAATTATACCTGGAGAAATTTAAATACTGCATTAAGACAAAGATAAATAATGTCAGGAAAAGTCTATAACTTATGTATTTACCTGGACATAATCCTTAGTGAGATATTGCTAGGGTCTAATTTGAAATTCAATGAAATGAGAGGATTTTGTGATATTAGTGTACAATTGATAGAAACTTAAACTAGGATTGTAAATATACAAGGTGTTTCATAACGGAACACCATAAATGAAACAGAATTAACTTTTTTGTATGTTCAATAGTGTAACTGAAAAAAAATCCTATATTTTTCACAATGTTCCAGTGTTTTAGAAATAACTATTTTACAAATAGTGCCAGTTCATATTTTTGAGTATTGTTTGTACATAGATTTATTTATTTATGTAACTAACTCCGATTGTCATGTTCTAAATAAAACACCTCAACAATTGCTTTATTATTTTATTTCAATTGTTATATAACAACATGGAAATTTAAATAATGCCTTGGTAATTGTTCACGCATGTTCATGTGACGTTATATAATTCTACACCGCAAATATACGAAGTATCGCCAAATTCTATCACATATTCATATCTTACTGAATTAGGTTTTCATATGATTGATCCTTTTTTTTAAGGACAGAACCCAAGCACTACAGGAATCACCTCTAGATTCTCATTAAAATATGCAAACTCCTGCTGCCGGTGAAGATGCGCATCTGCACATTCGGAAATGTCAATAAACCTATCTATATGTATCTACCTAGATAGTGATAGTAAAAAAAACTGAAAATATTTTCAAAAAGTAAGTTATTATCACTTACTTTTTGTTCAAAGTTTTTATACTTATTTCAAGTCGACACTCTGTATATACCTCGGAGTTTTTTACATAATGAATATTTAGTTCAACTATCTGCTAGTTTGTGTAATGAAGCTTCTATCATTAGTTCAATATCTCAGAACTTGTATCACTAACTGTTTAGTCAACCAAAAATATAGATACAATTAAAAAAATTGATAGTGACTAATGAGTTCATATGACGAAAAAAGGTAGCTCAGCGCCAGAACTAGCAGAAAACTGATCATAATTGTATTTTTTTAACAAATTCTTGATGAATTTCCATCTTGTCATGGCCTTTCATTTTGTGATGAGAAGCAGGGCCGGATTTGGAAGTCTGGGAGCCCTGGGGCAACGACTGATTGGACCCTAAAAAATAATCGTTTCCTAAATAAAAGAAATAAGTTTTCTCTGTCAAGTATTTCAAAAATTATTGCTAGCAATTAAAATTATTTCAACAATGAATGTAGTGATTTGTTAAAATCAAATAAAATTCATTAAAAACTAAATTACTGCGTTAACGAATGGAACTTTGCGAGCTTTATTATGGAGGCGTCTCTCCTGTAGAGACCCCGGGGCAGTAGCGGCGCCTGCCCTCCCCTAAATCCGACCCGATCTGAAATATCTCAAAACAGTTGAGAAAAACAAAAATAGTGATTCCAAAAACAAGCACCTTTCCCAATCACCAAAACAACGCGCGTTTCACCAACCAAGCTGACATCTTCAGGAGATGAAGAAAACTTCAACATCAGTAAGATTCAAAGAACACTTCATTGTCAGATTTCAACTACACAGTTTTACAAAAACGCAACACGTGTTTCGCTTTACGAGAGCTATTGTAGCACGTTGTTGGATTTTCTCAAAACTGTGTTCTGAAAAAAACTGTACAACGAAAATCACTCAGTATAGCAGAACACGTGTTGCGTTTTTGTGACCTTATTGCCCTTTTTGTAGAACAATGAAGTGAAAAGAAAAGCTATACTATGGAAATCACGTAGTATATCGGAAACACGTGTTGCGTTTTTGAAAAACTGTGTAGTTTAACAAAATAGTTTTACAAAAACGCAACACGTGTTCCGCTTTACAATAGCTATTGTATAGCGAAACACGTTGTTGCGTTTTCGTAAAATTGTGTTGTGAAAAAAACTGTCAATGAAAATCACTTAGTATAGGAGAACACGTGTTGGGTTTTTGTAAAACACGTGTTCCGTTTTTGTAAAACTATGTAATGAATAGAAAAACTTTACTATGGAAATCACGTAGTATAGCGAAACACGTGTTACGTTTTTGTAAAACTGTGTAGTTCAACAAAATAGTTTTACAAAAACGCAACACGTGTTCCGCTTTAAAATAGCTATTGTATAGCGAAACACGTTGTTGCGATTATTTCAAATGAATAAAGTAAAAAATGGGATAATCATTAAGATGGAACCATTAAATAGATACAAGCCATGAAACGACTCAATACTTTTTGGGACCTATATTCAAATCAGGTGAACTCTCACATCGAGTGAAAATCGGATGTCTGCCTGTTATGTAAATGACGAGCTTCTGAAATAGAGAAACAGAAATATTCTCTCTCGGTTCAAGAATTCACCTGATTTGAAATAGGGCTTGAAGGATTACAATCCCCACAATTAACAATTATAGTTACAATTTGCAGTACAGTTGCATTCACTGAAGAATAAGAAACCGCTAAGCATTTAGGAAATCAATATAACAATTAAGAAAACGCATCAAATTTCCCTCTTTCCTTTTTAAAAAGTACCGAATTCCTTGACCGGCAGAGAAAACCTATGAATGAGTTTTTCATTACATGTATCAATGAAAAAGGGGAAAACCCTGGTCGGAATGAAAAAAATTGAAGATACTAGGTCATATGTCAGAATTCTTTGGACTAACATAGGTACAAGATATGTATTATATTCGATGGATTCCAGATTCAACTTAACTTTTGATTTTGTGTGGTACAGTTGTGAAAAATATTGCCTCATTTTCTTCTATAATTTGTCGTTCTGTGATGATGGACAAAATTTTAATATCATATTTATCATGAATACAGCGATAGTCTTAACATTTTTGCTTTTCAGCAGGCCAACTTTTTCAGGTTCAATACATTTTTCGAATACGACTATCACTATTTGTTCGAACCCCCACATCTGAATTTATTGACAGTTCCCTGGATGAATGCCCAATAAGGGTAGGCCAAGCAAACTCAACTGTCTGCAAGGGGTGGGGGAGTTTTAATTAAAACCCCGGGTATTATTCAATCAATTCTCTTATTCAAAAGCTTGAACAAGTTGTTCTTAGGTGAGCATCTTAATTCGTGAAGTGATTTCATCATGGTTTGACCACGGTAAGTCTCCTTTTCTTTACAAATTCAAATTTTTCAATGGTATTTCTTTTGAAAACACAAATATTTAGCGTTATTGTTTACTTGTTTTATTTGTGTCTTGAGTAAGTGTTATGTATTTTCCTAACGTGAAGTCATCTCTTAATTAACAATTATTCTGCATTTGATTCTATCGGCTTCGTAGATTCCATTGAAATAATCAAATAATATTATTTGGATAGCACCGGTTTTTTAAATACAACGTACTATATTTTTCCAAAGTATAAACCTATTCATGATGACTGTATTTATTGGATTCTATAAATAAATCTGAAATATCAGTTGTCAAGTTTGGCAAACATTTTATTTTTTATGAGAAATGATTTTTTATTTAGATTTAAATTTTCTTTTTGTTTTTTTAATAAATTATGAAAAATTGGTTCTGTATTTTCCTGATATTTGTGACATTGAATTTCGTCACAGAAATTAATTTAAATTTGAAGATTTTGAAGTTTGATCGAGAAATATATAATAATGAGTTGTGGAATTAATTTGATTGAATTATTTGAAATAATTTTATTTTGTTGGGTTGGTTTATTCTTTATGGAAAAATCCGTGCGGCTGTGACATGTTTCAACGCGATATATTCTGAAGTTTTTTGAATTAATTACGTTTTTTTTGTAGGTGTCTGTTAAATTCTAATAGTGATCTGATGACCACTATTACGTTGATAATATATCGGCACAATTTTTGAAATGTGACATATGACATCTGTCATTCGAAATTCATTTCTAATTTCTCAATTTATTCCATTACTCAATCTCATAAGTAATCAATGAAATAATTACTTACACAAAATAAAGTAAATTTAAGAGTAGCATTAATTCAGAGTATAAATCTCTATACAATTAAACATGACATTTTCAAAATTTACAGTGCAATATGTGATAGGAAATCATGTACCTGAAATGACTTTTGACTTCTTCATCTAAATAACGATGAAATACATTCTCATAATCAATAAAACGTGGCCTAAATTTTCAGTTTTCACGAATATAATTTTCACTCTCCATCTGAAACTCAGAGTAATAAAAAATAAGTTACTCTGAGATCTGAAATGCAAAATGAATAAGTCTCACGGTGTTGCCAAGTTCATATCGAATGTTATAGTGACATCTGGCCCATCGGTTTTACTCGATTTTGTAAAAACTACTAATAAAAAAATTGTAAAAAATGTAAATCAGTATTAATCCGAAATATGATGAGTACGAGGCTGTAGAATAACTATATACTTTCACAAGTGTATTGTATATTTTGTCTGAATCGGAAAAATAAACTCTTGCTTCTTAAATGTTTTCAGAACATCTACACATCAGCGAATGCTTGATTTTCAACAAAACTTTCTGACACTGCCATCAGGAACTGTTGAGCTACTTCCTCTCTCTGTAGATCCAGATTCAGCTTGTACGAGGACATGAAGAATTTGCAGGAGTTTCATCAGGTGTTAAGCTATTACCTGGTACTCAATTGTGACTAGATTGCAGTGAATTTCTAGTACGTTGAGTACCGGGCACTAGAATAACTATGTATCTTCACTTCCAAACCTTATTTTTGATTAATGTGCGATTTCAAAATAAGTAAAGTTTCCACCATTGAAATTTTTAGTATTAGTTCTATCATTTAGATGTATATATTAAATGTTGAATTGGTATATCATTTGGATTTATGACCTGAGGCAGTTCTTTATCTGTATATGACGATTGTAAACACGCAAAAATATAACAGATGAATTATTTGTTAGTGAATGCTACATTCTAAGATGGTTCTCTAGATGAAAGTTTTGCCGATGCAGATTATACAAATTAGACGCCTTCTGAATATGAACGAAGTCTTCAGAACCAACACAATGAATATTTCAACTTTGGGAACCATAATCAACTCCCGATGTCTGTGTAGATGCAAGCTGTACAGAGATTTGCAGGAGCTCCATCGAATATGTTAGGCTATTTCCTGGTATTCAACGGTTACTAAATCGATTTGAATTTTTAGTACGCTGAGTACTGGGCAATAGAGTAACTATTATTCACAATGAACTCCAAGACTCTATACTATAGTCCACTCCAAGACAAGGTCAGTCAAAACGCAAACATGGAGAAATTATTACAGGAGATATTATGTTATTATTAGTACTGAATCGTGATTAAATACGTTTGAATTTTGAGTACCTTGAGTACTGGAGATTCGAATAACTTTACTTTACTAGTATTCCAGAAAAAATT